TGAGTCCACTCCCCAAAATTACGATCCTACTCGGCGAGTTTAAGCTCCAACTCGTCGAGTCTCCTCACAAAATACCAAAAAAGTAAGAATGAATAATACCTGGGAATCTAGTCTGTTACAGCTTGTTTCAAACCGTACACAGTCTTATCCAAAATATAACAATGATTTGGATATTTCTCATTTACAAAACCCGGTGGCTGCTCCACATAGATCGTTCCTTCTAATTAACCATTAAGAATGCACTCTTCACCTCCATTTGATAGACCTTTGTGAAATCCCCATTTACACGAGCAGAAAAGACCAGCTTTGTTTTTGCTTTGTTTGAAAATCAGAGTAGCCTTTTAAATAAAAGAGTTGCGAAATTTGTTCCCGAGAAACATGATAAATACATTATCAAAGAATCTCCAAAGAAATGTATTTTTATCCATTTTAAAACATTGATATGTCATCGTCAATACAGAAACATAAGTATAAACATAAAATCCATTCATTAACACTAGTGATTTACATCCCCTTAATCTCTCAGTGTAATGTAACTTCATATCGACCCATGTTTTACCCAACATATTTCATCTACCCATGTTTTACCCATGTTTCATCTACCGATGTTTTACGCAATATATTTTGTGATATAAAATACATATGTGGTTTAAATCATTCAAAACATGTATAAATTGTTCATCCAGTATAGACAACAAGTATTGAGGCAATATGCACACTTATCACGTAATTTATATAAAATACTTCATATCTATGTGTAAGATGAAAGTAACTATGCACTCACTTATCAAAGTGGTGATTCCAAACTCGAGCAGCGCTTCGCTTCTTAACAATATGATTTCCTTCGACAAAACGTAGTATCATTATCGCTAAATTTTAGTCTAATATTCATTACAACTAATTATTAGTCTAGATTCATCATTAACACAAAGTCTACTTTATGATCTATCAAGTAAGTAACAACCAGGTAGGATCATATCGGAGGTAACGTCCGTTTGGTATACGAAGTATACTGTTTGGAAATTCCACTTTAAACACCTCACTAAATCATAGCGTAGACATCATTTACATAAGTAGATCAATCAATATAACGACTTTGAATCAATGATAAATCTCATTTATAAGGATATTATATTTATATATAAGCTATATTTAAAGTATGGTAGGCATATCTCACTTAAAACGGGTTTTTATTAAAAATCGGGCTTCGCTGGAGCAGCGTTTCCAAGCCGAAAAGCTCTTTTCTTGGAGGCTTCAGGAGCCTCTAGTCTTCCTTCGATTGCTAGGAGGTTTACATAGGCTTTAGGGGGGGTTAGGGGTAGAGAGAGTCTATAGAGAGAGAGTAGAAGTAAAAGGTGTGAAGAATTTGGCAGCGCTCGCACCCCTTTTATAGGCACCTGGCATCGCACTACGTTGGGCGTAGTCCGACGTACTCTGGGCGTAAGGCTTGCAGGTGTCGCAAGGCTGTTGGGGCGACGTCACTTATTCCTAGACCTTATACTTTTGAGAACGTGAGGCGTACCAAGTTGTGTACGCGATGGGTAGGTGCGAACGTTGGGCGTCCGAAGACCTACGTGGGGCGTAGCGAGTCCAGGTATCCGAATCCGAAGGCTAAACCATGATAAGCAAGCGACAACCCTGATCGAACCACGTCATCAATCTCGCAACAGCTTTGCAAATCGCATACTTGACTTCTAAAGTTCATAACTCTCACATTCGAGCTCCTTTTTCAATGTTCTTTATATCCACGCGTAGCCGGGATCGTACACTACAACTTTTGTTTAGACTCCATCGGCTAATTTTGACTTTATTTTTAAAGTTTTATTTTTAACAGTCCGAGACAGGATTAGTCTGTTAAAAATCCATAACTTCTTCATCCGATCTTCATTTTTGTCTATCTTTTTACCGTTACGCTTCTATTAACGAGACCTTCGATTCTCGTTTAGGATGTGTCGGCCAAAAGTCACTTGATCTAATATTCGAACTTTGGATTGTGCACTGCCAATCCAAAATTTAGAAAAATCATAACTTCCTCATACGAAGTCAGATTTGGGCGTTCTTTTTATGTATGCTCACAATTTAACGTATTATACAAATTTCGTTTAGATTGATAAGGCTAAAAATCACTCTATCGTAAATTCATTATTTACGTCCGCAGTATCATGTCGGTTTTGTTGCGAAACTTCGACATGCCATGACTTCTTCGTTATAACTCCGATTTCGGCGTTCTTTATATGTACTGAACCCTTGTGACATATGCTACAACTTAGTTAAGAATATTTATTCTAAAAAATATTTTATCAAAAAGTCATTTTTCACGCTTATTGTCTCGAAATTGACTAGTCTGGAGCTGCGGGCGTTACAATTATCTCCCCCCTTAAGATGATTACGTCCTGCAATCATCAACAAAATAGGGCTTGTATAATGACTCCATACATTATCTCTTCATCCTAGGTAATAATTGTAACTCTTATGTCATTTCAAACGAGTATTTAACTCTTGGACTTCTTGATTACTGGTGGTGCTCAATCTTGCAACCGCTCTTCATACGGGGTTGGACTTTCAATTGTAATCTTCGATTTATCATAATATATCAATGGGTCATGTTCTAATGACCTCTCATCGTATGATGCAATGCTTAGACTCAGGTCTCTTAGAGTTAAATTCAAGAAAGCAATATACTTTCCTTCATGTTCTAGTGTGAGATAATCATATTCTAGCATGTAGCACTTTTAGCTACAAGCTTCTTACTTTAACAACGATTACGGAACTTCTATTGATTGCTTCGATTATCTTTCACTTCAGTCTTCTGGCTTAGTTCAGATGCTACATTAAATCTGGTTCTATGAACCATGTAACATACTCATCTTAGTCCAACTCAATTTGATATGACCATTTGGGTCGGAATAACAATCTTATTCTTAGTCATTACTGAAACGATGGTAACGACATACTTGAACAAAATGGAATCAGTTACTAGCTTCTTGGTAACCTTGTGACTTTCCCTGATCCAAGCATGAGTCCTGTGCTTCTGGTAGTATATGCCTCTACTACCATTCACACCTACTCGTACTCGTCCCAAGTATTTTCTCGCAGTTTCCCAAGTCACCGAACAAGAAAATCACATAACAACTTAACACACAAGATAACATAACGAAGGTTTTATTTTATTCCTTGAAACGATTTCATAGGTGTTTAAGTTCACCCTAGACTATGTCTCTAATAGGCTACACCATACGATACTATCCACATGGCTACTGCATAAGTCTATCTTTAGATATGAAGTCCTCATCCTCGATTCCTCGCGTTGTTTTCGGCTTCGTCGAGGATCATGTGGGATACCCTTGGCCTTGGTGGTGTGTTTGGCCTTGTTGCCTTGTTTTTCTTTGGGCAGTCTCTCGAAATATGCCCTTCTATGTTACATCTGTAGCACACCTTCTTGTTGGACGCGCACTTGTTGGCGTAATGCCCTGTCTTTCCACATTTGTAGCAAGTCACCTCCTAGCTATCACGACTAGAAAAAACAGCCTTTTGCGACGCTCATTGCGCGTCGTAAAAGACTCAGACGATGCGCAAATGCGCGTCAAGGAAGGCCCTGTCATAAAGAGAGACGACGCGCATTTACGACGCTCATTTACGACACGCAATTACGACGCTCGTTTACGACACGCAATGCGTATCAAGGAAGGCCCTGTCATAAAGGAAGACAACACGCATTCGCGTGTCGTAACCTTACGACGCATGTGTTAATGACATGCAATGTGTATCAAGAAAGCCCCTATCAAAAAAGGCCATGTTATAAATGAAGATGACACACATTTTTGCGTATCGTAAATTTAAATATTTAAAAAATATATATTTATATATTTATGAATATTTAAATTAAATTTGCATTTAATGTGTCATAATAGAAATAAAATACCATATACAAAAAAAATACAATCCATTGCATAAAATTTAATGTCATACAATTCTATTTCTTACAATATATAAAGTTGCATCCATCTAATCTACTCTATGTTTCATACTAACAATTGAAATGAAGAATGCAACACTTGCATTTTCAGCATCTTATCTCTTTCAGCTTGAGCTTTCTTTTCCACTTCTAACTCCAGGGCTATTCGTCTTCATCAACCCTATAAACACAACATAAAATCACTTGTCATTTTTATTCTACTTTTAAAATTAATTCTTATTAGGACATTCTACTTTTAAAAGCTCAAAACCAGTACTTGTTTGTGCAGTTTAAGCTCCAACACGACTGCAAAAGCTCCAAACCATTACTTGTTTGGAGTATGTACAAACCATCACTTGTTTGTGCAGTTTAAGCTCCAACACGACTGCAAAAGCTCAAAACCATTACTTGTTTGGAGTATGTACAAACCATCACTTGTTTGTGCAGTTTAAGCTCCAACACGACTGCAAAAGCTCAAAACCATTACTTTTTTGGAGTCTGTACAAACATAAATGTCATCAAACAAGTGAACATGTCGTGCAGAGAATAACAACGTACTTTCATAAATGTGCATCTTAAGAACAATGTCAGCCCTATTACAATATTACCCTTGTGAGACAGCAGGGTCTTCTTCTATGATGACAAATTGTGTCCCAGTGGATATTCTTAAAGAAATGGTGCGTCTTTACCTGTTTGTTTATCATTAATACGTCACACACATTATTTATCAATTAACTTCCTACCTCTTTGCCTTTTCTTTATATATATATATAATGGAGAGAGAAAATGTTAACTGTACAGCTCCTATGGCACAAAGGCGTTGAGTTGGATTTCAGTCAGCAACCTGAAATTAAAGTAAACATAAGCATAATTATAATTATGTATGAATATGTGATGATTGGATTGATTGATAAACAAGTAGAAACTTACTTATTAATCAGATCATATCATATCATACTATTATTAATTAATAGGAACATACAAAAGAATTAAAAAAATACAAAATACTTAACACCGTGAAATTAAGATCTTATTCTTAGGAAACTTATAGTTCCGATGAGAACTCATCCTCTTTTGGTTTCTCTAGTGAAAGAAAGCGTACAACCTAGATACACGGAATATGTTATATACTTATTATACGTATGCATAAACATAAAATGGGTAAAAGTGAAAAAAAATATAAATTTAAGTTTCACAGTATACCTGATGATTATGAACATATTCCAGAAAAGATGGAACATCTTGATTGTGGTTTTTTACAGTTCCGCCCTTGAGAGGTTTTTGGAAGCAGATAATGTCCCCATCTTCAAGCTATAAAACCAAAAATGTATTGATTAAATTAAATCAAGAAACTATCATAAATATATGAAAAAAAGAAAAAAACTTGAAAATTTACTTAATCTATGTAGAATCACTTAATGGGTTAAGCCAAAATCACCCACAAGCCTATATCCTGAGTTTCGGGTAGCATCATCGACCACATTCATCCCCACATCAATAACCACAACCCCACTTTTTATCCAACTACCCTTTATATAATAATAAAACAATTCAACAAGCCAAAGTGTAAACTAACCAACCTATAATCCAAATAAATAAAATCATTATAAGCAATGAACTAAGTATAAATGTAAACTGTATAAGTCTGGTTATGGTTACCATCATGGGTTGTCCAATAGCAGCAATAAAAATGTATGCCTCCTGAATCATACTTTCTAGATCCTCTGTACGCGGATGAACAATAGTAACTGTTACATCTTCCTTCAATAGAAGTATTGAAACTGGTAACCCAACAATGTTACTTCTACCAATAACTGCACATTTTCAGAAGTTCTATACATCCCTGTTTTAGAAAAAAAAATCATTTATCTGTTTTGTTTATTATATTTATACCCTATCCTAAATGGTAAATAAAAATGGGATTGATTGGCATGCCTTTGGGGTGAAAGGAAGAAAAAAGGGTTCTCTTCCTTTCATAGCAAGTTTACTAATGTTGAGAGGTGAAACCCATTCACATGACATCCTTGTCACTGTTGATTTCTATTAACACTTTTTCTTCATTTATTTGTTTTGGCAAAGGAAGATGACCAATATGCCTGGATGCTTATCAATGATGGTGGCCTTATGATCTACGAGTAATGCCATATATACGACAATTTGAGATATCAAGGTTCCACTCGAACTGGCAAATCTGCCCCGAAAAATCCTTGATCAAACCATGATATGATGTCTACCCCAAGAAATGGTCCCTGAATCTCCCCTTGAGGATCACGATAGTAAAGACTTAACTGCTGAGGCATGATGCCACTTGTTAACTGTTCACTTATATTATCCTGCATATTTCTTGTCCAATATTGCTAAGAAGATGGATTAATGCTTGCATACAATAGGTTCACATTAAACTGACCTCTTATGTTTCATCAGGCTTGGGTTCATGCTTGCATATCTAGCTGTCCCTGTCAAATTCTTGTTCTCTCTGCAATTTATAAGATATAAAATATAGATTGATTAGGGGTCACTTTTTTATAAATAAAAGATTGCTAATGAAAGTTTTAAAAAAAAAATTCACTCACCTATATGGAATGTGTCGATGAATTGAAGAGTCTCTATATTTCTTGGCTAGCTAGAAATCAATAGCATAGACCTGTAATGTGTAGGTTTATATATGTTTTATGTATAAAACTATAAAAAAAACAGAATGTACAATGGACATATGGAACAAATTATGGAATGAAACCTGATTAGCACGCCTCCCTAAACCCATAAGGAAGTTGTCTGGCTTTATATCCCTATGCAGAAATGATTTACAGTGAATAAATTCAACTCGGTTGATCTGCAACATATATATCACATAAAAAACTTTTCCACTTACCAAGAGAAGGTGGCTTCAGTTCCACAAATCCTACAAGCTCCACACATGATTGAGCTACAAGCAGCCCGCCTTCCTCATACATGTGACTAATTTGCATAAAATTAAATATAAATAAATAAATAAAGAAAATGACAAAACAATAAAACAATAAAATGAAATCTTTTTATCCTCACTTGCTCCCAACATTGGGAAGCAACTTTGTTTCTATTCGCATCTCTCCAACATTCCTAGCAAGTGTGACACATACCTGAATTGAAAAGAATATGTTATATATAAGAATGTCTAGTACACAAAAAGGGGTGTAATTAAGGTCACCTGTGAGGCCAAGTCTTCAAATAGCCAAAAAAAGACAAGGAGGCACACATAGATACATACATACATGTATCTATATGCATACATACATGTATTTCTATCTATATATGTATGTATACATATGCATGTATGTATATCTATATGTGTGTACAATTGCAAACTACAAAACAATGGGAAAACCAAACAAGATACCATCTATGTACATGTATTATGTGTGTACATGTATTATCTGGCACTAACCATGGAAATCCGATCAAAGGTGGGTCAACAGAAACAAGATACCATCTGATGGATTTTAGTTCAGACCAAAACTCGTCTCCTAGCATTTCATCGAACAGCTTGCCTACATAATCTTCATGAAATGCATCAGAGAATTTGTTAAAAGGGAAGAACAAATCCTTGTGTAGAAATTTTCTAACTCAGGTATACGAGGATCATATAGCCTGTAAAAGATAGAAGATAAATCATCTTTACACTAGAATCAAACACTAAACGAACCTGGATGCGAAGTAGGAGAACACATACACATCCTCCTTGGTTTATCCAACTGCTTTTTTGACGCTTGCTTACTATTATTACTCCTCAGAATTACAGAGATCGAACAACTCGGAGAAATTTGACAATTGTTGAGAGAAAATCGTATATTCAATGCCGATGGAGATGATCCGTATACGTTGACACGTGTAGGTGACGTAGATCGACTCTGAAAGAACGACGACGGGCTCGACGAGAAGGCAAAGGTGGAGGAAGCAAACGAGTTTGACGATGCCGAGGTGTAGAATCTTCCAGAAGGAGAGTGGGCTCGGAGTATGGTACCGGTCTTTGGGTCGGATTCGCAATTGATTTACAGCTAAAGAAATTTGGGGTTTTTGAGAAGATAAGGAAGGGAGAAGTAGCCATGGTTATCTGATTGAGGGTTTTTGCGTTTTTAATTGAGAGAAATAGTGAGAGGGCAGAGAGTAGGTGGAGACATTTTTCCGGTGGGAGATCGGAGATTTGGTGATGACTTAGGGTTTTTTTGGGTATTTGAGTAAGAGAGAGAAGAACGGTGGAAAGAAGGTAATAGCACGGCGGGCCTTTCAAACTTTTCAGAATTTCATTTCCCCCCAGAGAAGAGACCCCGCGTTTCAATAAGAAAATGTAAAGCGACATGGTTACACGACGCCCATTTTATGTTATGTGCCCTCCGTGTTTTTTTTCTTTCAATGTGACACTTATTTTACGGCGCGCAAAAGTACGTGCCCTAAATCCTTCTAACTTTTTGAGAGATAACATTATTTTTAGGGCACACACATTTGCATATCATAAAATAGTGCGTGTCATGCTTCGTGCGTCATTAAAGGGTATTTTTCTAGTAGTGTATATTTCCCAAAGTGTTTCTTTCTACACTTTTTGCACCACTTAGCTTCACTTCCTCCTCCTTCTTCAGACATTGATAGTTTTCTCTCTTTGTTGGACTTTGAAGACCCTTCATACTTCCTTTTGTCGCCAACTTCAGCTCTCTCCAGACCCTTTTCCCTAATCTGGGTCTCAACATTCCTGGATGCCCAGATGGCGGCTTTCAAAGTGGTTGCTTGCATGACCATTATACCAAAGCCCGCTGGTAATCCATGGGCAAACTTGTTGACCTTGGAGAGCTCAGTTGGAGGGCTCATGGGTAATCCACTTTGAGTTCTTACCATGTCGATATATACACCAATTTAAACCCTCGGTGTGTAGTGGCGAGAATTAAGATAGGAAAGATTTTATTTATGATCAACGTGTAAAATCTCCTTATCACTCCGAAAAGTTACATGCCAATTCTAATACCGTAATTAAACATTTATAAATCTGAACACATAAAGTTTCCAGATCCGGTCGGCAACAGACCATAGTTCCGATTAAACGATAGTCTAAAGCATCACAAATCATTTAGCATATAAAAGCATTTTAGGCATCTTCCTTAATTAAGCTAGTGCTTGTGTCTATTCAGGTGTACTACCTAAAATACATTACCCACTCTTCACGATCATCGCTTAGCATTCTAAGTTTAAGTTTAGAAATAAATCATTATTCCTAGTTCGATTAAACTAATGCTCTGATACCAACTATGACATCCCCATTTTCATGGCCATAAAACATCGGTTTTGTTTATGCTTCGTTTGAAAATCAGAGTAACCTTTTAAATAAATAAGTTACGAAATTTGTTCCTAGAAAAACATGACAAATACATTATCAAATCATCTCCAAAGAAATGTATTTTAATTTATTTTAAAACATTGGGATGTCATCGTCAATACAGAAACATAAGCATAAACAAAACTTACATTCATTAACACTAGTGATTTACATCTCCTTAATCTCTCAGTGTAATGTAACTTCATATCGACACCTATGACATAAATAAATTGAGTGGGTCAGGTTGGGAAACATGGTGAGTACATAGGAATTTCAACCCACAATAATATAGTTATTATGTTTACTCATCAAACAACCAACCCAATTACTCATCCCCATTATGTTCTTTACTTTTAAGGATTTACCTTAAGAATCAGCTATTCCTCATTCATTCATTCCTAAGGATTATCCTAATGAATTGGCAAGAAGTCCATCATCGCCACAGTTTATCCAACAGGCATTTAGACCATAGTCACCAGGGTTTAGGCACTAAGTCTACCTAGTCGCCAAAGTTTATATAATAGGCACTAAGTCCATAGTCGCTAGGGTTTAGGCACTAAGTCGGCATAGTCGTTGGGGTTTAGGCATTAAATCTGCATAATTGCCAGGGTTTATCTCTTTTTTTGACAGTACTATTTTTAGAGTCCACTTGCAGTACATGTCAATGGGTTTTTAGAATACACCAAGTGAGCACATCGTTCCCAACACCTACAGGTTGCAAGCCTGCTAGTGTTCCACTGGACTATCTAGAATTGTCTGTGGTTGTCATCCATACTCTGCTAGATGACGGGGAAAACACTTGGGTAAAAAGGTTCTCTTATTGTCCACCTCTCACCCTTATCTCATGGTCTATATCACCTCTCATCTCATCATCCGACTCATATTTCATCTACCCATGTTTTACCCAACATATTTTGTAGATATAAAATACATATGCGGATTAAATCATTCAAAACATGTATAAATTGTTCATCCAGTATAGACAACAAGTATTCAGACAATATGCACACTTAGCACGTAATCTATATAAAATACTTCATATCTATGTGTAAGATGAAAGTAACTATGCACTCACTTTTCAATGTGATGATTCCAAACTCAAGCAGCGCTTTGCTTCTTAACAATATGATTTCCTTCGACGAAACCTAGTGTCATTATCGCTAAATTTTAGTCTAATATTCATTGCGACTAATTATTAGTCTAGATTCATCATTAACTCAAATTCTACTTAATGATCTATCAAGTAATTAACAACCAGGTAGGATCATATAGAAGGTAGGGTTCGTTTGGTATACGAAGTGTATTGTTTGGAAATCCCACTTTAAACACTTCACTAAATCACAGCCTAGACATCATTCCCGTAAGTAGATCAATCAATATAATGACTTTGAATCACTGATAAATCTCATTTATAACGATATTATATTTATGTATTAGCTATATTTAAGTTATGATAGGCATATCTCACTTACAACGGATTTTTATTAAAAATCGGGCTTTGCTGGAGTAGTGTTTCCGAGCCGAAAAGCTCTTTTCTCAGAGCCTTTGGGAGCCTCGGGGCTTCTTTCAGGCGCTAGGGGGTTTACCTAGGATTTAGGGGGGAGGGGTTTAGGGGCTAGAGAGAGTAGAAGTGGAAGGTGTAAAGAATTCAGCAGCCCTCGCACCCCTTTTATAGGTGCCTAGCCTCGCACTACACTGGGCGTAAGGCTTACACGTGTCGCAAGGCTGCTAGGGCAACGTGGCTTGTTCCGAGACCATATACTTCTGAGAATGCGAGGCCTACTGAGTTGCGTACGTGAGGTGCATGTACGAATGTTGGGCGTCCAAAGACCTACGCGGGGCGTAGTGAGGCCAAGTGTCTGAATCCGAAGGCTAAACCGTGACCAGCAAGTGATGACCCTGATCGAGCCACGTCATCAATCTCGCAATAGCTTTGCAAATCGGATACTTGACTTCTAAAATTCATAACTCTCACATGCAAGCTTCGTTTTGGATGTTCTTTATATCCACGCATATGCAGGAACGTACTCTACAACTTTCATTTAGACTATGTCGACTAATTTTGACTTTATTTTTAAAATTCTATTTATAACACTCCGAGACAGGATTAGTCCGTTAAAAATCCATAACTTCTTCACCCGATGTTCGTTTTTGGCTGTCTTTTCACCTTTATGCTTCTATTAACGAGACCTTTGATTCTCGTTTAGGTTGTTTTGGCCAAAAGTCACCCGATCTAATATTCAAACTTCGGGTTGTGCACTACCGATCCGAAACTTAGAAAAATCATAACTTCCTCATACAAAGTCAGATTTTGGCATTCTTTTTATGTACGCTCTCGGTTTAGTATATTCTACAACTTTTGTTTAGATTTCTAAGGCTAAAAATCTCTCTTTCGTAAATTCACTATTTACGTTCGTAGTGTCGTGCTTGTTTTGTCGTGAAACTTCGACAAACCATAACTTCTTCGTTATAACTCGGATTTCGGTGTTTTTTATATGTACAGAACCCTTGTGACATATCCTACAACTTAGTTTAGATTATTTATTCTAAATAATCTTCTATGAAAAAATCATTTTTCATGCTTATTGTTTCTAAATTAACTAGCCCGGATTTACGGGCGTTACAACTTTGAAATTCTTGTGAGCTGCATAGGCAAGAAAAATGTAAACTGATTCTAGCCTTGCAACAGGTGTGAATGTTTCTTCATAGCTAATGCCTTACTCTTGGTAGTATCTTTTTACAACTAATTGTGCATTATTTCTGATTACCTTGCCTTCTTTGTCAAGCTTATTGCTAAAGACCCATTTCGAACCTACAATCGAGGCATCCTTCGAAGTGGGAATCAGCCTCTAAACTTTGTTGTGTTCAAAATCATTGAGCTCTTCCTGCATATCTTGCACATCAATCGGAATGATCGAGAGCAATCTTAACTATTTTTTGCTCAATCTTGGAAATGAATGAATTAAACATGCAAAAGTCTATTTTTGAAAATAACACAGTCTGATTCACTTTTTGCTGAACTCTAATGAGAACTCCCAAAGAAGTTGAACCTACGACTTGTGATTTGCAATGATCTTTGGTCCACTTTGCCAATGGAGGGTAGTTTGGATCGTAGGATGGATCCAGTTGGAATTTACATCTTCAAAATCCAAATAAACATTTGATTCATTATTTTCATCTACGTTCTCCCACTAATGATGCATGTGGCTCTTCATGTGGAATTGGGTTCTCCCCCTAGAATGGAGTGTCAAGGCTGACTTCGAGGTTTTCATTCTCCCCCTGGAAAGGTGAGTCGGAGGTTGAGGTAGAAGTAGAACTCCCCCCTAAACAGGTGCATTGGTAGATTGTGATGAAGGTGGAGTTTCGAAGGTGTCCGAAATTTGAGGTTTTTTTCAAGGTCTTTAGCAGCATCATCAATGATCTTCTTAAGTTCGTCTTCCTTGTTATCTAATACTTTTGATTCCGAAGAGATCGCCTTTTCTGGCTCATCAAATAGATTCATGAATTCCTTGTAGATATTTAAAAGAGGAATCGACATCAGACTTGTCTTAGAAATAATATCCTCAGATTGACAATCAACCTTCTGATACTTCTTCAAATAATTATCATCAAATGTGACATAATAGGCTTCTTCTATCTTTTTCGAAATTTTTTAAGAATCCTATAAGCCTTCGAAGTAAGAGAAAACCCTAAAAAGATCACTTCGTCATCTTTCACATCGAACTTATTTTGTTGCTCTTTAGAATTAAAAATAAAACACATGGAACAAAGACTTGAAAGAACTTGACATTAGGTTTTTGTTTATCTAGAATCTCATACGGATTGATTGAAAATTATTTATTGGTGAGAGATCAATTCTATGTGAAACATGCAGCTACGATAGCTTCTGCCCAAAAGTAACGTGGCAAGTTCACAAAAGACAACATGGCCCTCACAGCTTTGCACATAGACCAGTTTTAAGGAGAAGAGAAGTTATGAGCAACTCCTTTTCAGTA